GTGACCGTGGGAGGAAGGTCCTCTCCAGGCCAAGAGAACAGTAGAGGAAGAGGCCCAGAGAGACAAGTGGGAACGGAGGAGACGCAGAAGGTCATGGCCATTCCCAGAGGTCACGGAAAGGCCTCAAATCTCCTCCTTGCAAGGGGCAGCCCCAGAAGCACCTTTTTCTTTTAAAATTGCATTTTGTAAAGACAAACGATCACTTGTGTTTGAAGAGGTGCCTTATCCTGCGGCTGCGAATCGAAGGGTCTGTCCTCAGGAGGCTCCTGCAGCTCCGCCCCAGCTCCCGGCCCCACACCCCACGGCGACATCCTTCTGTGTTTCCCGGGACCATACAGTGGCACTAAGGCTCACAGCCCCACGGTGTGGTCTCCTCACTAGACACTTTATCTTGCTGGTCCCTTCACATCAGTTCTGAAGAGCATCAGCCCCCTTCCAGCAGTGCACTTCCCTCCCATACAGATGTCCCGTCGCCCAGGCAGCCATTTAGATGGCCCCTGGAGGGACTGGACGCAGGGCCTCGGGAAGCCTGCTCCACCTCTCCCTGGCTCAGTCACCTGCACCACGGCGCAAGAAGAAGACAAGGCTCGAGAGGTGCTCCACATGACTGAGAGCTGACATCGAGGGTCCGATTGTCACTGCTCCCCTAGGGCATCTGGGGGGCCGCAGGGGCTGCGGGCTGGGGAGGAGCCCTGGTTCATGTTTCACTGTCTGAAGTCGCAGCTGCAGGACTGGATGGAAGCCAGTGCCCTGGTCCTGCCCTGGCTGCAGCACCCCAGCTCTCACAGGCACCCGGCAGGGGACAAGCTGGGCAAGTCTCTGTTTCTTTTCTGAGGCTGAGAGGTGGGAATCCAGCCAGGGGACAGAGGGTCAGGACTGGATAGCTGGCAATGCCCACCTGCTCACCAGGACCCAACAAGCCAAGCCCGTGCAAGGATGACAGAGAAGTGAAGAAACACACTGGCTCTGCTCCTCAGTAGCTGTGTGATGTTGGGCAGGTGGCTTAAGCACTCTGAGCCTGAGTTCTTGRGCTGTAAAATGAGAATGATAAAGATGAATGCAATAAGGCGGGCATGGAATTTGGTGCATAGTAGATGTTCAAGAAATAATCACTCATTTGACTGTTGGTATCAACTAGAGGAGAAGCAGGAAAAAGAAATTAACTGCCATTTTCCAAAGTCCCTCCTGTGTGTCAGGGACGGTAGGTGGGGATTCACCTCCTGAGCTCAGTCACACCAAGTTCCTGAGGTCAAGCGGCTTGGAAACCGTGTCTGTGTCTGACACGTCTTCTATTTCTGCTGTTGGTGGCTGGTTTCCTCCTCTGTCCCCCACAGAGTCCAGGGCTCCTCTGTCATTGAGGGCTTCTCTGTAGTGGGCAGTGGGCACAGGCTGGGGCGCTGGACCTCAGGCGCTCACCGTTGACTGTCCCCACCCCTGTTAACTCACCCTCCCTCCTGAGAGCGTGGCTGGCCTTCCCAGAGTGTCATCTGCAGGCAGGTGGGACACCTAGGGTCCCTGGCTGTCTGGTTGGAGAATGGCTCAGTGGCTGCCCAGTGCTGTAAGGAGCATGTGGCCRTGGGTCCCTGGCTCTCCTGACAACCCGCCCGCGACGTCGCGCCGCCTAGGAGCAGGACCTGAGATGGGCTTCCTGGGCCAGCGATAGATACGCAGATACTCCAAGCAGGACCCGCAAGGAATGAGGGAGACAGGCAGTGGGTCAGAGGAGGCCAGGAGATGGGAGCTCAGTGCAGCCCAGTCCCCAGGGAGCCCTGGAACAGGACGGCATCCCAGAACTGTCCCGCTCTGAGCTGGGCTGTGCCTTCCAGGTGTCTGAGCCAGGCAGCTCCTTGGGGACTGGCTCCTAGGAGTGGCCAACATCCCTGGAGGCTGGGGGTGTGCGCCTGCTGTAGGGGAGTCCCCAGGGGCCACCCACAGCCCTCCCACCGCCTCCCAGCCATCCCAAGCTATTTTTCTTGTTGTTTGGCTCAGATCTTCCCCTCCTGGTCTGGGCTGGGGGCGAGCACTGGTCACAGAGTCCACTCCAGGGATGTTGAACTTGGCCACGGTGAAATAGCCTTGTTTGTCCAGGGTGGCTCCTGGCCTGGGGGACGGAGCTGGGAAGTTTCCCCCGGGAGGTTGGCCTGTGGGTCTGAACTTGGCAGATGGAATTTTAGTGGGACCTGTGTGGGGGGGTGACTAAATGCACGAGAGGGCTCTGCCCCCAGGGCAGCAGGATTTGGAGACCAGAGTTCCTGGGCGAGGACGGATCCCCCAAGGGCCGCATCTCCCCTCCACTGAAAGAAGGGAGCCACCCCATTGCAGGCTCTGGTTCAAACCAGCTGAAACTCACGGGCCCAACGGGAGCCAGGGGTCCCCRGGGGGGGGGGCAGGGAAGCCGCTCAGCTCTGGCAACAGCAATAAGGAGACATTAAAGGTTCTTCTCAGCAAATTTCCTTCACAACAGGAAATTTCTCTCTCTCCTTTCTTTCCGTTTTTGACATGCAAGCAACAGCCAAATGGAGGCATTAATCTGGGAAGATTATGTGCCCCCACATAGGAGCCGAGGAAATGGCTTTTCAGGAGGGGACTTCTCCCCCAGCACCTTCCCCCACACAAAGAGGATGATCCCGAGGCGGCAGGGCAGGGCAGGGGCTCGGCTGTTCACCTTCCCTGGTCACCTTCCCTGGTCACCCATTCAGCTTCCGAGGGAGCAGGAGCCGCAGAGGACCAGCATCCCCCCCCCCAACCCGCCCATCCCCTTGCTGTTTCCGTGACCTCCATAGTGAGGGGACCTGGGCCTGGCTGGCTTCCCGGTGCCCACGTTGAAGGAGACCCATCCCGGTTTTCCGCCTTCTGTGTGCAGACACCGTGCTGGGCCTCGGGAGTCGAGCAGCAAGACCCATCAGGAGCTCTGCCAGGGGCTTCTGTTTTGGCAGCGAGATTCAGACTCCAAGCAAACGGCCAAATTTGAAAATAMATTACCATCACAGGGAGCGGCGAAGGAAAATAAATCAGAGTAAAGAGAACCTKGGGGGAGAGGCGGGGGAGGGGGGCGTCTGAAACAGACTGAACTGCAGGATCCACAGTGGCCCATGGGCAGGGTGGACGCAGGGGCCAGCAGGCACCAAGACGACCTCGGCCTCTGGTCGGGGGTTGTGATCAGAGTTTTGCTAAATGAGTGGATGGCAGCCGACCTGCCTCCAAAACAGCAGAGCCGAAAATAGGCAGCCGCGGGGGGTGCCGGAAGCTCATACCCTCGTTTGTAGGATTTATGTCATTTATGCATTTAAATATGCGTTCTTCAAACACATCTATTAYTATTTTTTTAATTAGAAAAGCRCAAAGTAAATGAATTGAGCAGCCAGGGAGGCCTCTCTGGGGAGGCAACATTGGAGAAGAGACCTTCCTGATGGCGGCGGGCACCGGGCAGGTGTCTGCAGGAAGGGGTCCCCGGCAGAGCGAATGCATGGGAAAGTGCTGGAATGTTCCAGAAAGAGCATGTCTTTCTGGAGCAGGGAGGCCACAGGGAGCTGGGCCGTGCCGAGGGGTTTGGATTTGATTCTAGGAGCAAATGGGATCCAGAGAAGACTCTTGAGCAAAAGAGCGACTGGAGCTCCTTACCTTTGGGGGCAAAGGGAAGGACATGGGGAACACTGGCTTAAATGGCTTCTGCAGACGTGTACACCCAGTTTGTGACCACCCAGACCAGGAACCGGAATATTTTCACCCCCCATGTCCCCTCCCAATTGATAATCTCCCCAGAGTCAGTGAGCCATTTGCTCTATCTTCTTAACTTTCAGGGAAATACTGTCAAATAGTGTGTTTGCTTTCAGCCTCACTTCTTGCACTAAACCTGATGTCCTCCTGATCCATCCAGGGTTTTTTTTTGGGGGGTGGGGGTGGGGGGTACCAGGGATTGAACTCAGGAGGATTGGACCACTGAGCCCCATCCCCAGCCCTATTTTGTATTTTATTTAGAGACAGGGTCTCACTGAGTTGCTTCATGCCTCACTTTTGCTGAGGCTGCCTTTGAACTCACGATCCTCCTGCCTCAGCCTCCCAAGCCGCTGGGATTATAGGCATTTGCCCCCAGGGTTTCAAGGCTACCAGAAATTTGTGTGTTAGCACTGACCAGCATTCCACAATATGATGGAACCACCCTCAATCTCTCTGCTCTTCTGCAGTGGAACCTGGGTTGATTCCAATTTTTAGCTATTCCCCACCCACCCAATTTTTTTTTTCTGTGAATACCCTCTACTTGTCTTAGTATACAAGCACCATTTTTCTTGGATATATAACCTGAGCACGATTCTTGGTCACAGGGTAGACATTAATAGACGTTAATAGACATGGCCAAAGCATTTTCCAAAGTAATGTACCATTTTCAGCTTTAATGAGGTATAATTCCCATGTCATTCAATTCACCCCTTTAAAGTGGACCAGCCAGTGGATTCTGGAATATTCACAGTTTCACACCCATCACCACAGTCAATGTCAGAACCGTCTCTCTGGGTCTAGCCGTGGTGGGGGCTGTTCTTACAAGCTAGGAGCCAGCTTTCTCAAGACCTCCCTGGCCACTCTGTGAAGCAGAAGTGGCACAGGGCAAGCACAGGCACAGAGAGTCGGTCTTGGCCAGCTGGCCACTGCTATAATGACACACCCAACGCGTGCGACTTAGGAAGTAAACACAGGCTTACTGGGGCTTAGATTTCTGGAGATTCAAGTTGGGAGCCCCATCGTTTCTACCTCCATCAAATCCCCAGCACAGCATGGCAGGAGCAGGCCACTCACACCAGGACCCGGGAAACCAAGGACCCGTGGGACTAGAGTCCTGTCCTTCTCTTTGAGGCTGCCTGTGTCAAAGGTCCACAGCGTCCCCCAGCAGCGCCCAAGGGTCCCCATCTAGAGAATGGAGATGTGGATAAAGTTCCTTAGTATGGCACAGAGTGACAGGGTGACATCYTCTCTGGGTTGTTTTCCAGGAGCACCCGCCGTCCACCATGACGGACACCGTGGTCAGCAACAGCGCCAACCGATGGATGTACCCCAGCGACCGGCCCCTGCAGTCCAAGTAAGTCTCAGGGTTTTCCTGGGAGCGGCTGGTTTGGGGGTCAGTGAGGTCCTAACTGTCTACACCCCAAAGAAGGAGGAAATCACGAGAAAAGACATCCTTTTTCCTTCCCTGGGGTGGGGGGAAGGAACCCGGGGGGGAGATTTCCTCCAGAAGCTCGCATCCCTGACGTGGCTGCKTTGCAAGGGTTAAAGGAGCAAGGTTAGAAGACTGAGCTCCAGGTCCCGAATTAGAGGTGGCCCTGGAGAGAGAGACTTGGTCTGGTGACAGACACAGACCTGGACCCAGCTCTGGGTCTGGGCCAACTCACGGGGTGACCAGAGGCCACACTCTCCTTCCTTCTGGACCTCGATTTCCTCATTCATCAAATAAGGCAGCCAGGCTAGACGGGAGGTCCCCAACGCCCCACGGGCCCACTCTGACTGGCAGTGTCCCGGGAAGGGTTCAAGGAGTCCCCGGAGAGAAGGGGGACTCCCCTGGGGATCAGTGGGGCTCTGGGCATATGTGACAGAAAAGAACTGCAGCACACACCCGTCAAAGGCAGAGACAGAGGTTCATTTCGGAAGCAGGTCCAGAGTCAAGGAGAATGGACGAGATCTCAAGAGCGAGAGGTGGCCTTGGGGGTTCCCGGCTCTTCTTTAAAAGGGAATGGGCTCAGGGGTGGGTGTGGGAAGGTATCCGCCCAGTGATCTCAAGATGGCGTCTGGTGGTCTGGTCTGCTCCAGGATCCTCCAGCCAAYGTGGTCCTCATTATCTGATCAGCAGATAGCTCCAAAAAGTTCCCCAAATATAATTGGGGTCCCTCAAGGCATCCTATCACTTTGGGCTTCATTTAATCGTTGGAGCGTTGATGGACAGTGCGTAAGTAGGTTTGCACAGGGTCTCAGCCGTGGCCACCACACCTGGCTACCTCTGTGTCTTTATGTCCTTTGTGGGGTATGTTGGGAGGCATCTTAGGGCCACGTGCAGAGTTTAGATACTAGGAAGAACAGATGAGAAGTGCCCATTTTGGGGGAAGGAACAAATGTGGTTGTTTCCTAATGACTGCGGCTCACCCAAGTTGTGTGGGGAGGATTTTTAGCAGAGATCCTTTCTCACTGGAGAGCAGAGTATCCCTAAACATGGCCATCAGGGTACCCCCTTCACAACTGCTACCTTATCTCTACCACAGGGCTGTCCTTGTCCTCTCTAAATGGACTCCCTTGCAAAACACTTTTGTTGAATAAGGTCATTTTAGGTGACCAGTGGATGTAAGTGACTAACCAGTTCACTACCCACAGCAAAGGGCAAAACCAGGAAGACAATCAATCAAAAGAAACAAGGTTATTAACAGGACATTGGTGGTGCCCTCCTGTCCTCTCAGGAGGCTGAGGCAGGAGGACCCCAAGTTCAAGGTCAGCCTGAGCCATTTAGCTAGATTCTGTCTCAAAATAAAAGTCAAAAGGGCTGGAGATGGAGCTGGTGGTAGAGCACCCCTGGCTTCAACCCCTGGTACTGCAAAAAGAAAAAAGAAAAGAAACAATGTTATACATTGTTACACAGTAAGTAGCCCCTCCAAGGTTCTGAGCCCTTTCCCACTTTCTCTCAAGGGACTTGGCAAGCCACAGACAGGTATCCAAGACTGATCAGCAACAATCTGAGCGTTTCTCCTGGAGGTGATCACAGGCTGGGAAGAAGATTGAAAAGGGAAGGGTTTTTCCCCCATGTTTCAACATTGCCCTGAGGTCCACTCTTCCTTCAGTGTCTTCTGTTGACCTCCGATCAACACCCTTGCCCATTTCTTGGGCTCATTGTGTTGATCACGTCTTCCTGACGGTCCTCTCTCCCCACTATTAGTAATTAGGATACTGGATTCACGAGGCTTCTCATCTGAATTATCCCACAAGCTTCGACAGACAGCCTTCTCATTATTTCCCATTTCCAAGTATTTTAAGTCTTACGATTTCTTCTTTAACCCAAGAGCGGTCTGCAGGCACACTCAAACTTTCCTGGCTCTTCGGGGATCGTTCATTTATGATCATTGTTATGAATCTCTAATTGCATGGTGTTGGAGAATGTGCTTTGGATGAGGCTGACTCTCTGATGCAGGTTAAGATTTGACATCCGAGGGGCTGGGGCTGGGGCTCAGTTGGTAGAGCGTTTGCCTAGCATGTCTGAGGCACTGGATTGGATCCTCAGCACCACATAAAAACAAATAAATAAAATAAAGGTATTATGTCTGTCCACAACTAAAGAAATATATTTTTTTTTAAAAAAAAAGATGTGACATATGAACTAGAACATGCTCATGGATACGTGAGGGAAATGTGCATTCTCTAAGTACTGCCTGAAGGTCAGTTATGTTGGAATGAGCTCATGTGTTTCTGGCATTTCCCCCTCTGCTATTGTTCTGTGTGGGGGAAGCTTCTAGCACAGTGACTTCGCCCATTTCTCCCTGAGGTTATTGGAGGCTGCCTTTCTTCACAGTGTTCTCCTGGCCACCTGTTATCTTAAAGCCCACCAACCTTCCACTAGAACTTCCTAATCCAGTTTTAGAATTTTCATAGTCAACTATTTTACTTCTAAAAATTCTTTCTCATTTTTTTAGTATATTCTTAACCACTTCTTGAGTTTCCAGCTCCTTGCTCAGTTTTTAATGTGAATTGAAATTTAATAACTTCTTTTAACAGGCAGGAACTTCACATTCTGTATCCAATAATTACCTGACCCTGTGGTGCGCTGACCTGTACCACAGGGGTGCATGAGAGCCGATGTTAAATTTGCAGGGGTTTTGCAACCCTCTCATTAAGCACTGCCATCACCAAAAAAAAAAAAAAAAAATCAAGTTTTGTAAATTTACAATAAAGTTGCATTTTACACAACAGTGACAGACACTCAAAATCAATCATTTAATTTTTTTCTTAGTACAGGTTGCTATTCTGTGTTAGTTATGTCTCTGATTCCTGGGTGGAAGAAATACTTATCATGTGGTATCTATTGCCCATTTCCCCCAACCCTGTACGACCTCCTCTTGGCACTTGAAATCGGTCACAATGGGGCTGTGGTCTGAGAAAATGTCATTGAACATTCACCAATGTACCACTAGAACACTGTGCTGCTGTTGGTCTGGGGTCGGCTTCTGGGTTTTCTTTTCCTTTCTGTTCTCAGTTGTCTTGTAAAGACCTAACTAATGTACCTTCCAGAGCACACCTTCTAAAGTAAGGTAAAGTACGGCTTGATAATTTTTAAGCAAATGTGTGTACCCATAAAAACAAGATAATGAACAATCAAGATAATAAATATTTCCTTCTGTCCCAAAACAGCCCCTACCACTTCTAAGTCCCTTCTTTGGGCTCCCCTACCCACTCGCCCATCCCCAAGTAGTCATTAATGTCTGTTCTTTAACTATATATTAATTTGCCTTTCCTAGAATTTGATACAAATGGAATCATACAATATGTACTTTTGGAGACAGGGGATACATAGCTGGCCTCTTTTGCTCAGAGTAATTATTTTGGATCCAACTCTATTTCTTCACATATGAAGAGCTGGTCCCTTTTTCTTGCAGAGTAGTATTCCACTGTGTGACTAGAGGTGTCTGTCCACTGTGAACACTTGCACTGTTCCCAGGTTTGGGCTATCACAAACGAAACTCTGTGTAGTAAGTGCTTTTCACTTCTCTTGGGAACTATCTAGGAGTGGAATGTCCCAGCCATTTGGGAGGTATTGATTTAGCTTTTCAAGAAATTGCCAAACAGTTTTCTAAATCAGTTGTGCCATTTTTAAAAACTCCCGCCAGGGACGTATGAGAGTTTCAGCTCTTCTACCACCTCCCCAGCACTGAGTAGGGCCAGACTCTCCAATTTTAACCATTCCAGTGAGTGTACAGTGGCATTTTGTTATGGCTTCTAATTTGCATTTCCCTAATGTCATCTATCTAACCTCTTTGTTGAAGTACCCGTTTAAATCTTTTACCCATTTAAAATATCAAGTTACTAAAAAAAAAAAAAATCAGGTTATTTGCTTTCTTGTTGTTAAGTTTTGCACTTTTTAAAACATTTTAGGTAAAAAAAAAATCCTTTGTTGGATAGACAACTTGCAAATCCTTTCCCCAGGCGATGACTTAACATTTTCTTTTTCATTCAAGAATATCTTTGGAAGAGAGAAAAAAAATGTATTTTTATGAAGTCTGTTTTGTTTATTTGTTTTGAAAAGCAGCAAAATCTTAGAAAAGCCTTAGAAAAGCCCCTTACTTTCTAGCAAGTCCCAAGCTACATTTTAAAAGGTTTGCTTTCATTTGTGTAGCACCTGACTATAGGTTGGGGAAGGATTTTTTCTGTCCACCGCATACTCAGAGCAAAAAAAAAAGCCCTCTGTCTTCTACCTTTACCTAAAACCTTCTCCAGATCTAAGAGCTCCACTGTTTTGAAGWCACTGCTGAACCCTGCTGGTTTCTTTATCAATAGGAAACTTCCAGTCTCCAAAGCCCTCCCGTGATGTCTTCTGGCAGCCAAACTTACTTAGTAGAAAATATTCCGTCAGCTAAAAAGTGTGTCTCTGTAAGATAAACAGTAGCCTGGAGCGGGGATGGGGTCTTTATTTTATTTAAGAAATGTCAGCTAATTAAAATCCCATCCATCAGAGTTTACTTTAGTGGATATGAAGCCAAACAATTTGCCTTACAATTAAATCRGAATTATTCCAACGGTCTGGATGCAACTTCATTAGCGTTCTCCTGGGCTCCCTCGGAATGTCCTGGCATTCTGAATGTCCCCAGCTGCATCTTCTCCAGATATTGAAATTATTTTTCAATAAATGCTAATGGGGGAATTACAGCTGTCGCACATGCTCTCTGGTCTGCTGCAGGGGAGGCTGGGCTACTGCAGCCAATTCTCCTTTCTCCAGTAAATGAAGGCATCTGAGTCCTCATTAACCGCTGGCTGGCCAAAGACACTTATTGCTTTTGTGGTTTTCAGATGTCTTGCTCTTCCCRCATCCTTGAACTTGATTGTGTCTGAAGCCAGCAACGTGGGGTTTGAAAGAAAAATAAAAATGTGCCTGCTTCTAGCTTGATGGAACAATGGCTTATTTCCCCGTGCGGGGAGTGTGTGGGGAGAGGGTCCCTAAAAGTTGGTATTTCTAGCTGTGACATCTGGTGGGAGGAGGGAACTGAGAAACACACAGGGTGTCACCTCCCTTGGTTGCCCATGCAGGAGATGGGGGGATTGCTTTCCTTTCTAGAATGGAAGAAATTGCTTCCCTCAACCAGGGCTCCGTGCATTCTGCTGTTCAAGTCTCCTGGCTCTACCTAATGTGACCCTAACCCCAGCCCCAGGGTTTGAAACAATCAAAATCAAGCAGACAGTGATCAGATCGTCACGGAGTGATTTCTCTACAGTGCCCAATTATTCAAACCTAAGAATGATTGTTTCCGTTAATGAGAAAGCAGACCAGATTGGTCAATTTCATCACAGATGTGGGTCTCGCAACCCTACGTAGAAGACACCCTGGGTTAGAGGAGCTGAAATAAGACAGTGACCAAAAAAACAAAGGAAGTAGGTCCTCATAATCTGAACTGTGTGGTTGTTGCATCCAGATAGAATTGGTGTTGCTCTCAGATTTCTCACCTAACTTTATTCATTTTTTTTCCTTTCTCTCTTTGCTCTGCCTTCCTTCAGTGACAAAGAACAGTGAGTATTTTTATGACACTTTTGTTTTTCTGCAAATTGAATTTCACCTCTTTTTTTCTGATCAAAATGGCTTGCTCCTAAAGAGAGATGTTTAAAGAGGGAACTAGAAAAATTTACATACCTTAAAAAATTTAAGTTCCATAAAAAATTATGAAATTAAAAAAAAAAACTAATTTGACCAAAGTACGGGTGTTCCTCAGGAGAGTCCTCGGTTGATTCCTGTTAGTCATTTGTGGGTTCAAAGCAAGTTCATTGAGTTCCTTGATGGGTCTCTGCCCACTTCTGCAGCGTTTGGCTGGGAGCGCTGATCTTAGATAAGGAACGTGTTGGCTCCCATAACTGCTGCTGATAACCACAGTCGACAGTGGACAGAACAGTTCCTGGGAGGTACTGTGCTGTACCTTGGGTCCCGTCCCCTCCTCTGAGGTCRTCCTAATTTCCCAGCGAAATGCTGTGGCCAGATCTTTGCACATAACTTTTGTGCTTTCAATTGGATTCATTTCCTAAAGACGCCCCATGGACCGGACGTGGGTCTCGCAGATGAACCGCCTGCAGCCTGGTCTCAGTTACGTGCACACGTTCAGAAACCACGGGAAGTGGCTGTTCCCCTGCCCCGATGGGACCCTGGGACTCACGGTCCGTGTGGCCTCGGGCACTGCCCCTCACRTCCCCAAGCCCTGACTCTCTGGTCTGCAAAATGCCCTGTGTCCCTCACGGGGTGGTGGCACGATCAAACGACGAGCACAGGAAAGCTTTGTAAACGGTAAAGCACCAGGAAATTCAGCAAAGGTGCGAATCACACCCTGGCCCGCCCGGGTCTCTCTGTGGAGAACACGGCGACAGTTTGCTCAGCCTTTCCAACCCCGATGACCACGCTATCAGAACCTTTGAAAGTTTACTTGATGCCGGTCACACTTCACCAGGTGACCTGGGGAAGGTCCCCCTGCTCTGTGCCTGTTCTCCCTCCGTCCCTTGGGAGCTTCCGACACGGTGACCCTGTCTGAATCTCTGCAGTCCCTGTGGCTGGCAGGCAGGACCTGGCCAGGGCAGATCTGCTTTGTACGGAATTATACATGCATTATTTAGACGCACCAGGGAGAGATACTGAGGCTTTGTTGGATTATAAATATGAGTTTGGTGACTCCAGAGGGTCTCAGGGCTCTTAGAAGCTTCCAGAATGCTGAAGGGTAGAAGGTAGAATCTATGTCCATCCTCCTCCCCTGCCTCCTTCACCCACTGATCCTTCCCTCCTTCTCTCCCTTCCTGGCTTGCTCCCTCCCTTCCCCCTCCTTCCTTCTTTCCAGAATGTTTATTAAGCACCTACTGTATGCCAAACACTTTGCTAAGCACCAGAGATACAGACAGATGTGGGCAAAGTATGAATGGTGTCTAGTGAGGTCTATCAACAAATAAACAGCCAGTCACCAACAGATAACACCCAGCATGTCAGGAGCCCTACTGGTAGGAACACAGGAGTGTCACTGTGCCCAGACGTGGCGTCACAGTGGGAGAACTTTCTGGAAGAAGTGATGTGGGAGCTGAGACCAGATGAAGAGAGAGCGCGGCCGGGAGGAGCAGGGGAGCCCCTGGTCGGGAGAGAGATCTGCAAAGTCCGAGTGGGAGAGAGAGCCCGGGGTTTGAGGAGAACTGGCTGGAATTCCGCCTGGCGGGAGCCAGGGTGCCTCTGGCATTGAGAGGGCAAAGGGACCACAGCTTCCCTCTGCACCCCTGCCAGCGTGGCTGGGTGCACTTCACCCCTGGGCCTCTCCAGCCCTGGGCCTCTCCAGCCCCGGGCCTCTCCAGCCCCGGGCCTCTGGCTGCTTGTCCTTCCCCTGCTTTCCTTCAGGATTCACTAAAATCTCTCCCAAGGAGCTGAAAAGAGACCTCCCGCAGACACCTGCCCACGTGGGCATCCTGGGGGAGGGAGGGGAGAGGAGGAGGAAGGAAAAGGACCTGTTTTCTGCACGTCACGCTGTGGGAAGCTTTGGGGCCGGCAGCGCACCATCAACCTGGCCCTCTGGGGAGTGATAATTTATTCATAGAGACATCTGGCAGAGATTTATTATCTGCCTGTGGTGTGCAAGACATGGACCATCAAGGTGGAGCCAGGAGGAGGCAGAGGCTGTCCTCTGCAGGTTCAGAGGGCCTCCACCTGGAGGAGGCTCATCTCCTTTGTTTGGGGGCCTCCGATGCCGGCTTTGGTGGGTGGCAGCGGCAGATGCTCCAGGTAGCAGGGAAGCGGGTCTGGAAGGCTGGGTGCTCCGGTCCTRGCCACACCCTCTCTGCTCCATGACCTTCAGCAAGCCCCTTCCCTCTTGTGTCAGACACAGGGACACGAGCAGGTCAATGACAATGATCTTCAGACTTTTGTTAGCAGTGAATTTTTTTTTCTTAGAATAATATTTTATTCAAAAGCTAAATGTTTAAGAATGATAAGTGTGGAGGTAGATAAAGACTTTAGTGACTGAAAACATTAAAAATATCATGGTGAACTTTACAAATCTGGAATTTGAAGTAATACTAATGTATAAAATAAATGTAGGGAATCCAAAAAAAATCATTTTTTTTTTCTTTTTGGCCAGAGTGAATGCTGTATCAGCTAGCTATTGCTGCGTAACAAGCAACACACAATTTAAAACTATGATTTATTTAAAAAAAATCCTACTGATGGGCTCCTGGTTTTCCCCCCAACTTTTCATAAGAAAAACAAACAAAAAGTTACATCACTGACATAAGATTCCTATACTGATATAGATTTCTTTCATTTAAAGTCAGGCTAGGCTACCTGAACATCTCATTCCCCCCACCTCTTTCTCCCTCCAACATTCCTACTGGTGCAGCTGGGTGGGGAACTGAACTTAGAGACTTCTGCTGCCAGGGCATAAGGGGAGTCTGCAGAAGTCTAAAGAGATTCCTGATCTTCAAACAGCAAACAGGAGTTAATGACCTTGGCAGCCATTCTGTTTCTTCTGTTGGTTCCCCTCCCGCCCAGGGCTGGTGACTCACTCTCCTCCCTGCTCCTCACTATCAAAGCGTCCTACTCATTTATTCAAATCCGGTGTCCACTATCTGTGTAGCCCTGAAGGTAATTTTCCACCAAATTTGTCACCACGGCAAGGATTTCAGACGCACTTATGTCCAAACGTTGGAGAAGAATGACGAGGTGGGAGGAGGAGGACCAGGAGACACCATTGCCCTTTCCGGAGCCTTGGCCTTGCTCCGAGGTCCGTGGTGAACATGCCGTAGTGTGGTCCAGCTCGGCCTCGCAGGAGTCCTGAGGGGTCACTGCTATCCTCTGACAGATGAGCAAACTCAGGCCCGGGGACGCTACGGAGCTGGTGCTTACAGTGACGCATCAGGCAGGGGCGGAGCCAGAGTGAGACCCCAAAGCCTTGTACCTTTCCCTGAGGCTACGAGTCTTCCCAGGCCCCCGAGGGGTGTGTGTCTCTGAGGGTGTCATGGAGGAGGCTGCCAGGGCTGCTTAGGTTGAGGGCCAGCCCAGCCTTCAACTCTGGACTAGCGGCAGCCCCAGCGCTCCTTTGGAGAGCAAGCCCCATGGCTTCTGGCCCGGCCTGACATCTCAGAATCTCCCAGGGTCCTAGTACATAGTAGGTCTTCGGTTCATTGATCTGAGTCCATTTCTTAGTAAAGAGTTCGGGTGCTGCTGTCCTCTGGGCGCTTGCCATGTGCCAAGGACCTCATGTACGTGTTCCCACTGAACCCTGTGTGGCCCCAAGTCCCACTTTGCAGACCCGGGAGCCAACATGCAGAGCTGTGCAGACCCCTGTGCACACCACCAGGGAGTGACAAACGGGGGCCCCAGGCACTCACTCCACCAAGTCAAGGAGGCCCGGGGGCACACAGTAGGCCCTCTGGGAAGGTCCTGGACTGGGTACAGTCCTCTGAGCCACCTGTCCAAAGAGAGAAGCCCTTTGGCTTCCAGCCCTGGTTTTTTAACCAGGTCCTAACACAGGGCTCTGGCTTCAGGACACGGAGCTGGCATCCAGGGACCCAGGGCAAGGGAGCCACTGTCTGGTCACCAGGGCAGACTTTGAGGCCCCCATCCCTACGTTGCTCCCCAGCCCAGGTCCCACACAGGCCCATGCTGTGAAGCCGGTCTCCTTTCCCCGTTTGCTTTTGGAATTAAAAGCCCAAAACCCACAGGAGGCTGGCGGCTCCCACTGAGGCCAATCAGGCCACTTCCAAATACTGGATGAGCTGTTTGTCACCGGCCTGTTCTGGAGCAGAAGACGGGGGGAGGGTTTGGAGCGCTGCCCTGGCCTCCAGGGGACCTTCTGCTGACTGCCCTCTGTGGATGGAAGCAGGTGTTGTGCAAGGGGCCTCGGGGACATCCCTGTCCCTGCTGTGTCTTGGAGCTGCGGGTCCAGGAACTTCAGCTTCCTGTGCACTCTGACCCGGCAGGCTGTGTGGGGTGGGGTGCGGGATGGGGTGAGGCACTGGCTTCAGGTCTGACTGGTGGCTGGCCACGCCCATGACCCCTGGGCTGCGTGTGGGTTACTGAGCTGCTCCGTAAAGGCTGGGAACAATGGCGGGGACGGACGGGGGACCCAAAGACCATCGAGGAAGAGAAATGGGGACGAAAGAAGGAAGGACAGGGTCAGGTACAATGTCACCTCTATGGAAGACCACGGGGGCGGGGGCTGGATTAAGTCGTGACCAGGGTTTCCAGGAGGGGTACCTGGTCTCCACCGACCGGGAGACACCCTGTGTTGGGGTGTCCCCAGGCCCCTCCCAGAACACCTGCCTGCACTTGCAGAAACGCCAGGCTGAGGGGTGTCCGCACAGGACGCGGAAGGTCTCTCCATCACAGGGAGCACCCAAACAAGGATGGGGAGACCCTGCCAGGCAGACAGACCTTAAGATGATCCCCAGCGACCCCACCTCCTGGTTCCACGGTCCTGTAGAATCCCCTTCCCCCTAGTGTGGGCAGGACCCCGGGGCTGGATTCTAACCCACGAGATGCAGCAAAGGGGAAGGGGTTATATATAGGACGGCCCAGCAGTCAGGACTAGAGATTCTCCCTGTGGACTGGACAGAGGAAGTGACCCCTTTCCTGGAGAGTCGCCCATGAGTAGAGACTGCAGGCAGACTCTAAGATCCAGGGCACCTGGGGCCCTCGGTCCTGCATTCCCCAGGAATGACCTCTGGAAGCTGATGCTTCCCCTGTCGAGCCTGCAGATGAGAACACAGCAGACCCACATGGTGACTGCTGCCTGGGGAAGGCCCAGCAGAGGACCCAGTGCAGCCCTGCCGACTCCTGACCCAGGGAGCCTGGGAGATCCTGACACTGTGGCTTTAAGCCCCTGGGTTTGGAAGAATCCATTATGCAGCGACAGAAGATAAATTCGGACACCACAGAGGGACAGGATGTGGTCCAGCCTGTGTCTGCCCTCCAGGGGCTGGTCTTCCCCCAGGGCAAGCAACCCCAGAGATCCAAGTAGATGCTGCCATGTACTTGGTGACCTAGGAAGCCACCCAGAGTCACTTCCACTGTGCTTAGTGGCTGATGCAGGACCAGCCTGGATTCAATGTGGGAGGGTCAAGCCCAGGGTTGGGGGGGGGGGCGTATGCCAGGAGGCAGGGATCCCCAGGGGCCTGCTGCAGCGGGCTCCCGTTCTGTTCTTCTTGCAGTCCTTGGTGTGCGGAGCCAACCTCCTCCCTGGGTCCCTCTCAGTCTGGGATCTCCACAGACCTGAAAGCCAAAGCTCTGTGGGGCCTGAAGCCTATGTATCTTAGAGGATCTCCTCGGGATCAAGACAAAAATGTCTTTTTTCAATTTTTCGTAATCCCTTGGCTACTAAGATGTCACGAAAGGGCCATCTCAGGGGCTCGGAGGAGCCACACAGACAAAGGTCCTGACCTTTTGGTGTCACCCGGATCACAGTGAATTCCCTTTGCCCCTCCGGGTGCTCTCTGTGGACCGAGGGCCCTCTGTGGCCTCGGCCTCCCTGAGTCACGTGTACAAGGAGATGCTAACGTGCCTTCGGCCACAGGGGGCTGGGTCGTCCTCCAAAGCCCTTCCTGTGTGCTCCCTCTCAGATCGCCACCTGCGTGCTCCAGATGCTGCCTTGATTCTGAGCCAGACAAGGTCCCCGCTGCCTCCCACTCTACGTCACAGTGGGGTGGGGTGGCAGACACCGGCAGCCAGGAAAAAATTCAAAAGATACCTTGAGCCAGAGAAGGTGCCGTGGAGAAAGCAAGCCAGGCCGGGGCTGGAGGAGGGCGGCTCTGAGCCTGGCATGAGGAGGAGCCAGACATCGGAGGACCTGGGACAGCCGTGATCCTGGCAGGGACGGGGCTGAGACCCTGAGGCCAAAACCGGGCTGGGGCTTCAATAGTGAGCAGAGGCTGAGGTGACTGGAGCGTGTGCCCAGGGGAAGAGGTGGCAGTGGGGATGGAGAGGCGGGACAGGGAAGGACAGGCAGGACGTCACAGAATGGGGCAGAGGCTGGGCTTCATTTTTCTTCAGGTCAAACTCTCCCACCTGGAAACCATCTGAAAGATCCCGCGGGCCGTCCTGCCATCTGGTGCGTTCTGGTACCCGCGCACCTAGTCCTGGGTTTTGTTCTAAGTCAATGAGATGCCGCTGGAGGAGTCTGGGTGCGGGGGGGGGGGGGCGCTGCATTTGTGTCCCCTAGAAGCACCTGTGTTTCTTCCAGAACATTCCCAGGCCACAGCTCTTCTCTCTCATACAAGACTGGCTCCAAAGACATCCGCTTCCCTTTCCTTTCAAACTTTGCCGTCTCTGCTCTTGGGAACGACCCAGCTGAGGGGGAAGAAGCCAGAAGCAGGGAAGAGGGAGGCGGGATTTTCATCCAACTCTGATTGTCAAAGGCAATTTCTTGCAGACCCATGATGGGAGCAGGGAGAGTCATCGAAACTGGTGGCTAATGGGTGCTGGCTCCTGAGGTTTGGGAGGTACTAATTTTTTCCCTAATGGGGAAAAGAACTTCCAGGGGTGTTCAGCCCTGCATTCTAACTAACTGGGTGCTGCTCCTCAGCACCCTGGGTGGGTCCCATGGTGTGAGGGGAGAGGACATGATTTTGCCACAGGCCACAGCATTGACTGCTCCCAGCAGCCTCTGCTCTGCTAGACCACCTGCTTTCTCTAGCCTCAGTCTCCCCATCAGGAAATAAGGGCAAGGACAGTCCCCGCTTTGTAGGGTGGTGTGAGGACTCAGTGAGGTGACGTGGGCATCCTGTAGGAACTCTGGCAGTGTCTGCTTTTTAAAAAGGAGATGAGCACAGGGAGGAACCTGAATGTTACTGGAGACTTTGGGGCTGGGAGCCTGGATGTTATGTGAGATCCAGAGACACTGGGGTCATCCTGGGACCCAGGGCTGTGACTGCCAGGCAGGGGTCCAGCTATGGAAGTCTGCTCTGGAATCTTCCTGAGAAGGTCATTACCTTCCTGGTTCCCATGAGCTTGCAGCCAATGTTCCTTGCAGAACACCTACAGGTGCAAGTACTTAATAAAAACTCCCATCAGATGTAATCCCAGCAGCTTGGGAGGCTGAGACAGGAGGATCGTGAGTTCAAGGACAGCCTCAGCCACTTAGCGAGGCCCTAAGCAACTCAGCAAGCCTCTGTCTCTGAATAAAATGTAAGTGCTGGAGATGTGGCTCGGTGATTAAGTGCCCCTGGTTCAACGCTTGGTATCCAAAAAAACAAACAACCCTGTGAGGGAAGCTGAGTCCCACTCTGCAGATGAGCGGCTGGGGCTGGGGCGCTGTGGGGAGCCCCTCTTGCACAGTGAGTTTCCCAGCCACCAGGGTCAGGGCCTGACCACTCCTCCGCGGCTGCCTGCTGGGCTTTGCGTCCAGCCTCACATGGTCCCAAATTGCCTTTCAGGCTCCAGGCAGGCTGGAATGTCCACCCCAGCGGTCAGCCCGACAGACAGAGGAAGCAGGAAGAGCTGACGGACGAGGAGAAGGAGATCATCAACAGGGTGATCGCTCGAGCTGAGAAAATGGAAGAAATGGAGCAGGAGAGAATCGGGTGAGGCGCGGGGTGCAGGGGCGGGTCCGGGCTGCCTCGGGGCTCTGGCACGTGTGACTGGCAGGTGCCTCGCACCCAGACGGCGGAGTGGGGGCTACCGGCAGGGGGCGCAGCTGAACAGGAGAAACAGCGCCTGCCCTCCTAGACGCAAGGACGGTGACTGTGCTCAGCAGCGAGTCCACTATGTCAAATAGAAAGCAGGAGGATTTGAACCTCGAATGAATTATGTAAGAGGACGGGGGGCCCATCACAGGTCCCCGCTGGCTGCTGTGGGTCCTGGGCCTGTGGCTTCTGCCCGCTGTGCCCGGAGTGGCTGGATGGGGGAAGGAACCCCCACTGGCAGGCTAGGGGACAGAATCCAGGTCCCTGCGCCCTGTGCTTAGTGAGCAGGAGGGGAGAACTCGGTGGATGGCAGAGAGGCCAGGCTGACAGGAAGCGTGTGCAGAAGAGAGTGACGAAATCCAGGAGCAAAGACAGCGCTAGGGAAATGGATGTCACGTGGGTGGGCTGGAGAAGGGGCAGCGGGGGAAATGTGGGTGCTCACAGGGTGAGGGGGTGACCTAGAGAAAAGGGGAGACAGCGGTGGGGGCCTCTTGAAGTGGGCGGAAACTGGGTGCTCAGATGCAGAAAGGCCGGCAGAGGGCTCCCAGAGACCTGGGTCTCAAGTGGGAAATTTGAGGGTGCAGTGCAATGAGAACCCCACCCCAGGCCCTCCCGGCAGCAGCCACCACTGCCAGCCACTGACAACCTCTGCCGCTGACCCCCCTCGGGTGCACCCAGCGGGGGGTGAACCAGGTTCTTGGAGGAAAATGATGTTCCCCAGATGCAGGATGTGGGTGACTTTGATTTCAGTTTCTGCAAACACTTTTATGTGGGGCTGGCTGGGGAGATCAGAGACGCTGTTGACAAAGGACAGACTCCCGCAGCCTGGCACGTTCTTGCTGTGTGCTTCCTCCCCGGAGGGGCTCCTAGGGGCTCAGCAGCTCCGCTCGGCTTGGATTCTTATTTGTATTTTAAAAGACATTTTAGGAGTAAGGAGTTCTGCAGGCCACAGGTGTGAGTGTGTGTGTGTGTGTGTGTGTGTGTGAATGTGTGTGTGTGTGAGTACTGACCCCTCGTACAGCGACAGGCCTCAGCCTGCAGGCATGAAGGTCAAGTCTAGCCTCTGGAAGCAAATGTTCCTCTCTTTTTCCTTCAGAGCACTTCCTACCAGCTACCATATTTAACACTCTATATATTTAGTTTAATTACTCTATGCCACTCTGGATGGATCAAATATGAGAGTCCCCAAAGTAGGGGACTCTGATAGAACCTGGCACATGGTAGGTGCRTAGCAATATACTTTTTAAGTGAATGAATGAACTTGGCCCACCATGCTGCCTGCCAGTTTCTCTGCGCATGCCTGTGGCCCAGGGAGTATAGAATCTTGCCCGGGGTCCAAATTCCCAGGGAAAGTTCTCTGATTGGCTGGCACATGTCACGTGCTATCCCTTCTCCAATCAGGGATAAGAGCCCAGGTTGTACCAATACCAGGAGCTGCTTTGGGAGGTCAAGTTGAGAGCATCCCTGAGGACTGAGCAGATTCCAGCTTGGGCCTTTGACAACAGGGTAGGTGTGGCCCTGCCCCGGTCTCCCTGGCCTGGCACATTCTCCCACCAAGTGGCAGCAGACCACAGTGGTTAGCAACTGAGGACCCAAAGTCAGAGAGAACTGGGTTGAAACTGGAGCTGTCACTCATTCTGCATGGGATCTTAGGTAAACCAGGTTATCTCCCTGTGCCTCAGTTTCCTCACCTGCAAGGTGGAGGGCACTTCCGCAGGTACTTCTTGGTGAGTAATGGATTAGCATGCAAAGGACTGTCAGGGGCTTTGCCCTGGTCACATGCTCAATGGACAAGGGCAACTCCTTAACAGCGAGTTAAAGGAGAGAGAGAGGAGGCTCATTTTTGACGCTAAGTGAAGCCTCGGTTTACAATCAAGCCCGGGAATTCTGCAGCCTCTGGCTTCCCCTGAAGGAGATGTGAGAARCCTCCAGGGAAGCTCCGTCAAATCCCTGCCGACAGAGTGTACCTTTGCTGAGGCCGTGATTTCTGCCTGGCTTCCCCGAGTCCGGGGGACAGTCTCGGAAGATTCTAGCTGCGGCTGTCTCTCTGCACCTCCCAGCAGCAGCCCGGSCCGTAGCATTGCCAGAGGCAACCCCAGTGCTATTTGTGTCTTCTAAGCTCCCACCTGCCCTCCTTCCTGCTCCACCCACGCTTCCCCCGGGAGGGGATCAGAGCGGAGTTGGATAAAAGTGGAGTGAGACATCAGACCTGGAGGAAGACGGGAAGAGGGGTGCCATCTGGGCTCCCGCTGTAGAACCTGAGGCGCTCGTGAACAAGGTGTCAGGAGCCCAGCTTCACAGTGGAATCTGCTCAGTCCCCAGGGAGGTTCTCAACTTGACCTCCCGAAGCAGCTCCTCCTATTGGTACAACCTGGGCTCTTATCCCTGGCTGCAGCTAATTGGAGGAGGGATAGCACGTGAYGTGTGCCAGCCAATCAGAGAACTTTCCCAGCCCCATCCACAGTGGGGCTGCTGGGGCCGGGGGACCCCACCCTGCATGGTTGACTGAGCTCTTGAAGCAAAGGAGCCCTAACTGGTAAAATGGCAGGAATGTGTGTCTGTGCCCCCTTCTGGCCCCAGATACCACCTCGGCAAAGCTGGGTTTTCTCTATTACCTGAGGCGAAGCTATCTTGGCGAGATATAGGATCATTATTAACAAACATGACAAATACTYATCATAACAGGTACTGCTTACTGAGCACTACTATGTGCCAAGTGCTATCATTGTAAAACCTCATTCAGRGGAACGCCTTAACTCCAGTTCTCTGATTGGCTGGCACAAGTCACCTGCTCTCCCTCCATTACCTGTTACCACATAACAACCTCCCAACCCTATCAAGTAAGTGCCCTTATCCTCTTGTTTTTTCAGGTGAGAAAACTGAGAATTCAGTTGTTTGGGTCACTTCTCCAAGGTCATAGAGAGGCAAGGTACCCATCCCTCTCTGGCTGACTCTCAGAACTATGCTCTTAACTAGGAGACGCCTTTCCCCAGGGCCTGTCACTCTATTCTTGGACTCTGTATGACCCCGAAATTTTTAAGAGCCCAGGTTTGGAGGGGACAGTTTGGGGGCTGGAGGTAGGACCCTCTTCCGTGCCTGCCCAGTGATTCTTTGTGGCATTTATCAATCAGTCACGGTCATTGCTGCCAGAGCTGGCTGCTGTGTCCAGAGAGCTCCAGGGGGAAGGGCCTTCAGACCCTCCAGCTCCTTGGGTAGCTTCACTAGCTTTGGCCATTCTGGGGGCCCTGGAACGCAGGCCCACCTCAGACCAGAGCTGCCTTCTCCTGGAGCCYGCATCTGTCAGACCGTCACTCACCGCCTGCCTCAACCCGGCTCTGCCCCCGTTAGCATCCAAGGAAGGGAAGTGAGGTCCAGAAAAGAGACTCATTAAGTGGCCTCACTTTGCCCCATGGTCCTTACTCAAGTCTCAGCAGGATCCTGGGGCTTCTCCGGCACCCCTGGCTATGACCAGCTTTCTATATGTTTGATGTGAGGCATTGCTTTCAAGAATTAGAAAACCAAATCCAGACAAGTCGCCTCCATTACCTGTTACAACGTAACAAACCATCCAGACGTAGAGACTTAAAGCCCTGCAGTGTTGTACCCCTCGAGGGGAAGAGCCTGGCCTGGGTTACTGCCCTCGCTGCTCCCAGCTGGTGGCTGGGCTGAACTGGGTCCCTCTCTGTGCCATGTGTCCCCTGTCCTGTGCCATATGGCCACCTCTCTTTGTGTGTGATCTGTCCTTATTCAGTAGCCTGGCCCCGGCACCTTGACACGACAGCTAGATCCCAGGATAGGTGGGAGTTGCTGGGTGTCTTAGGTGACGGGCACCTTTTCCACCATATTCTATCATAGAGRGGGAGACAGACCCCATCTCTCTGTGGAAAGAACAGCGTGTGTTTCCAGGGATGGAGGCCATTATGGGGAACCATCTTTAAAGACTCTCACATTATGCAAAAGCAGAAATTTAATATAAGAATTCAGATGTATCAGAGGAGCCAAGGAGGATGTAGCCTGCCTCAGGAAAAGCCTGCTTCTCACCCCCAGTGGGAGAAAACACACCCAGGCCACTCATCCTCGGCTTCTATAGCTCTTCTTGGTCCTAATTCCAAACTCCCAGGGAAGGAGCTCTGATTGGCCCAGTTCACCCTCTTTGTCTGCCCCTCAACCAATCAGCTGTGGCCACAGGTACCAGGCGAACCTGCTCTGTCCAGAGCCTCTCAGAGACATTTGCTTATGATTCCTGCTCGTCCACGGACAGACTGGCAGCTGGGTGGCTTCCACCTGAGGTCAGCTTCCCTCAACAGATGGCCCCCAAAAGTAATTAGGATTTGTCATTAACCTTGGTGACCAGACACGGTGATGGAGGAGGAAGTCGGAGGGACAGAGAGAGACCTGTCATGGACAGAAGATGCTGCACTCCGTCCACCTCCCCACCTGGGCTCCCCAACGCCCCATCCTTCTGGCACAGAACGTTTCCAAACTAGGGACAGAGGACAAAGTCATTAGTGATGGCTGAAACTTGCTGCGCCCACCGATGTCAGCGCCTTCCCCGGGTGTGACAAGGAGATTGTGAGCTCACCCAACTCTCCTCTTCCTGAAAGAGGACACCCGCCCCCACCCCTGCCCGACCTGGTTCTAGATGCTCTATGGATAGGATTCAGAGGTTTGGGGCTCGCCAGAATCATAGGCTCATTTATGCATGTCCACATGGGCATTTTCAGAAGACATATCCAGAGATCTCATCATGTTTGGGGGGAGCGCTGAACCCCCCAGGGTTGAAAACCAGTCTCCCCGGGGATCAGAGCAATGCGCTCCAACACCCACCGCGCCCCTCCCCGTGCTTCACGGAATAGGCCTTAGATGCCAGCGAGAGCTTTCTGAATTCGACAACCAGC